TGTTAGGGGTTAGGGGTTATGAGTTAGGGGCTAGGGGCTAGGGGCTAGGGTTAGGGTTGGGGGTTAGGGATGGGGGTTATAGTTTATCCAGCTCATCCAGCTCTAAGAGCATCCGCATCAGTCGTTAACTTAGCGCGGATTAAGGCACTTAGTCCAGCCTCGCAACCGCACCGGTCCAGATTACGACAGGATCAACTTGACTCAGATCTCCATTTGGAGCTAGTCGGGTCTAAATCTAGACCTCACTAATCCTGGGAACAAGTGCTCCATGCATATTCAAAATGCATGAAAAGCTTTCCCATAGCTGCAAACAGCTCCGATCGAGTCGGACAAACCAACTTTAAATCCATAACACATAGATCTAAGTGATCTCCGCCACCCCCGATGTGGTTGAAGCCTAAAGAATAGCTTAGTCATTGACTAATCCGAGCTCGCTAGCCCGGTATAACTTGTCCACTGATGCGGATGCTCTAATCCAGTTCATCCAGCTCCAAGCCAGCTCATCCAGCTCCAATCCAGCTCATCCAGCTCAGATATCCAGCTCATCCAGCTCACATATCCAGCTCACCCAGCTCCAATCCAGCTCAGCCAGCTCACATATCCAGCTCGCCCAGCTCCAATCCAGCTCAGCCAGCTCACATTCAGCTCAGCCAGCTCATATTCAGCTCACCTAGCTCATATTGAGCTGGGTGGAGCTGGGCATATCCAGCTCCACCCATTTTTCCATTCCAAATGGAGGATGTGAACGTTTTTTCCTCCATTTGGAATGGAAGAATTGGAGTGACAAACCTTACACTCTTGGCCGTTGAGAGTGCACACCCTCAACGGCCGGGAGAAAACATCTTGGCCGCTGAGAGTGTACACTCTCACCAGGGGAAATTCCAGGGCACTGGTCAGCCATTGACTACATGTCACCATAAAATCAGAAATACTTTCCCTTAAATCACTTGGGTGTGGAAAATCAAACTCACATACTTTTCACAGTTGTGGATTCTGATTTTCCCTCACTTTTCACCAAAGATCAATTTGAATTTCCTCATGAAAAATCATAAAAGTCACCAGCTTTACCCAGGAGATGAGTTTTTGGAGTCACTGGAAGTTCAGAGAAGTGATTGTTTTTCTGCTGATGATATATGTTTTGCTGGAGAATTATTTTTATCTGATGCTAGATCTTCAGCCATCACAAAACATATTTAGACCGTCTCAGATCAGGTGAGTATTTGTAGATTTAGAAACTCTCAAATCAGATCAAACTTCATAATTCTATAGCTTCCAAGACAAGTTGTAAAATTGAAATCCTTTCAGATTTAAAAATAGTAATCCATTACTAAAAAAATACAATTTTTATCTAAACAGTTTTAAATTCCATTCAAATAAACTGAATTTCAATCAATTCCTTGGGTATTTACAGAATAAAATTAACACTTCACATTTGGTATTCAATGCATTCTTGAGAGTTTGGTCTGTAGATGATTGAGATGAGACCTAAGAGCAGAATTTTTCATTCAGAGAAAAAAGATAAGTACAGCTTGGTCAATAGAAATAAATCATTTTTCACATATAATGCACAATGACAGTCAATATCATCACAGGTAATAATCTCTTGATGAGAAGTGGGACGTGCTTGGTAAATATTTAAATGTGGCCAATCAGGTATAAAGGAATCATTGATATCCAAAGTATTTATCACCATAAAGTAGTCAATTATTTTCTGGAAGGGATAATTCACAGTAAATATCTTGATTATCTTTCCAAATTTTAAAACACCATTTTTAAAATAAGATACAATACTGTTTCCTTGATGTTTTTCAAATATTGTGAAAGTTTTATTTTTCCAATGAACTGATTTGTGGTAAACCCACCATGGGGAAACTGCAAAGTGATTTCCACTTTCTCCTGGGTTTGCTTGACTTGAGTATACCCAATTTATACTTGGTTTTACTTTCCTTAAGTATTCCACAAAATATTTGTATATGTTTTCTTCAGCCTGAATAGGTGTTCCTGAGGTACTATTGGAGCTTGATTCAACATGTGTTTCCAGAAAACTAGATATCTCTTTCACTTCAGGTGGAGCTGTGGGCAACTTAACCAAGGAGTTTAAATTTGAAATCCTACATATATGTGAATAGTTAATGGAATTTGATCTGCATAGAAACAAAAAATTAGTTCTGAAATTGTGAAACAAACAATGAATAGAAGCTCACCAACTGAGTTGTTGTTGCCAAAGCTTGAAAAAATTCCATTAAGTCTTTCATAAGCCCATGTGGCACAGGATGGGGCAGGTCCCCAGCACATAAAGAGTTCAGGGATATGAGTTGACATGTGGTGATTTGGCTTTGCATCTACATCAGGATACATTTTTCTACTGATCTGGAGGTACTTTGCCCAATGTCTTGCGAAATCGGCACCAGATTGTGAGTTAGTGGTCCAACTGGTTGAGATATTCAGAGAGCTGATCAGATGAAGAGGATTATGATAAATATCCTCTGGAAAAGGATCTTTATATTTTTCTTTGATAATCATTAGCAGTGGAATATAAAGCTTGTAAAGGAGTAACCATTCAGCTGCCTTCAAGCTTCAATGGGTTTTATCCCCAATATTCTTAGGCACTCTTGTCCAGTCTGAGGGGATTGATGTTTGATTGATTAATTCTCGCAAACATTCCAAAAGTTCAGGGTTAAACTTGAAGTAAGTGGGTGAATACTGATTTGTATCAGGTTGAAATTCTGAGCTTGGATTATCTGTTGAAATTGGTACATAGTCCAGGTCATCATGATATCTTTCAGTCAGATTTGATGTTGGGGGTAATACGTTTTTTCCCTTCTGAGATGGAGTGTGTTGACTTGTACTGGCTACTGGATTTGGTTGAACCCTTTTTGCAGGAAGATTATGAAGATCATCTGCTGCTTCTCTGCGCAAGACTCTTGCAGCCCTTGAATCAATATGTTTTTCAGTGTAATGATAAAATATTTCCTCTTCACTTTCTGAATCATCAGAGCTTCCACTATCTGTGTCTTTTGATTTTTTGACACGATCCTTCCAATCTTTTGGTGCAAGTCGCAGTTTGTTCTCAGCATGGTCCCTCAATGCTCCCAGAATCATGTTGTGCATTATGTCCAGATTAATCATACGTGTTGCATCCCAGTAAGGAAGTTCTTCAAGTATTGAGTAGCGCACACCAGTCTCTTTGAAAATATCTTCACGCTCTTTTTTGAGCTAGCAGTGAGCCATTTGGTAACATTTTCCTTGTGTTCTCAAAGGTTTCTTGCTTCCCATGAGAAAGGCTGGACTATATTCCTATCTTCCTTGGAAATAGTGCAGAGATTGCAGAACATTGTTGCTGAATGCCCTTTGAATCCAGAAATTTTCCTGATTGCCGGAAGGTCAGCAATAACTGTTAACATGGCAACTCTAATTTTGGCTCCTTGTGGGAATTTATATGTTTGGGAAAAAAAAACACCTTCCCAAAGCTCCTTGAGCTCTTGAATAAGTGGAACTAGTAAGTTGTTCATTTGGGGTCCATCTGGCTCCTTGGGTCCGGGAAGGATTGCTGCAACATACACATTTTCAGGTTTGAGGCGCTTCTGTGGTGGGAGGTTCAAGCATACAAGTATCAAGGTTCCAAGACTAGCATGTCGGCTTGACTTTCCAAAAGCATTGAACCAGTCAACATAAAGTGCAAAGTCCAAGTTGCCAGTTTCAGACAAGAATGGATGTCTCTCATTTTTTCCAAAAAATTTCTTCCAGATGTATCCATCCCAAATATCTGTCATTGTTGTTTTTGGTTCCTGTTGAAGATGTATTGAAAGATCCTCCTCAATTCCAGGCTGTAGCAGAAATCTTGCCAACCAGCTCTTGAAAGGTTGATAAACAAAGTGCTTGATTGCCTCAAATTTGGCTTCTTGTTTCCCTCTTGGTTTCTCCTTGACATTGGTTGAGGTTTTCATCTTGCCAATTTGTGTTTGGAATGGGCCATCAAGGTCATACTTTTCAAGATGCCGCTGACAGGTTATATTTGGATCAGTTATTTTACTTTCTAATCCTACCAGATATAAGCAATTGGACAGCATGCATAGATATCTAGGTCTGGGTTAAGGCTGAGCTGATCAAAGGTAGTTGATGTACTGAGGGGAGCTTGACCAAGGTGATCAATTGAGCTTGGAGAAAATTCTGAGACCACTATTCTATTTTGGACATTTAATGCTTTGACAAGAACTCTTGCAGCTTCTCTACAGATATTGTGACACAAATTGAGCATTGAGTTGCTAACCATTGGGTAGACTACATGGCGCTCATTTTGTTTCAAGGAATAGTTGGCCCATTTATCCGTGAAAAATATTGGAATTTCACTACCAGGATGTGGCTGTTCAGCTGGAGTAGTAGAAGTTGGCTGACCAGCTATATTGTATACTATGGTGTAGTTTGAATTAAATTTTGAGCTGAACTTCTCTTGGGTGAATGATTTTGGTTTGAAATGTTGCTGTGATTAAATTCATTTTGAGTGGGTCTAAAGATAGGGTTGGATGTATGAATTTCATATATGGTTTTGGTGAAGGGAAAACCTTGCCTAAGGCCATAAGGGGTCATAAATTTCTTGGTGCCACAGGTTATACATGTACAAATAACATAGCCACAAGGGAAGGGGGATGTCATTTTATGAGCAGTCAAATAGTTGTGGGCCAAACTCTTCACAAAGAGTATATCTCTTTTATATTCAATCCACATGGAGAACAGGCCAACAAAATTTGTTACTTCCTTGTTACACCGGGAAAAAGATAAATAAACATGTTTCAAGTATAAATCATAGATATTTATGTTTTAATTTAATTAAGGATAAGGAAATAAGTCTGAAAGAATTTCAATGACAATTGAAGACAAAGAAAACAGTCTGAGACAAGTCTTGATTGAAGATAAGAGAGAGAGAGATGGTGTTTGAGGAGAAAGAAAAAAGTCTGAAAAAAATTCTGATTGAAGATAATTAAGATGCTGCCTAGTATTAAACATCTTTCAATTGAAGATGCAATAGTGGCTAAGATCAAACAGATTTCCATTTCAGATAAGAGGGAGAAAAAAATTCTTGTGAGAAAAAAATGAGAAAAAAAGGAAACAATGTTGCTGAGTGATGGACAGAACAATTAAATGTTTTGAATTGTAGCTGCTGGGCAATCAGATCTCCTAGGGAAATCTAGAACATGTTCACCTTCAGGGTGGGATTGAAGCCAATGTTCACAAAAGTCAAGTACAATGTATCTAGCAAGATCATAGCGTGAAATGCGTACAGCAGTGAATTCCTTGGAAGAAAAGAAAAGGTGATTGATGATAGAACATATATATGTGTTGGTTCTCTTCCAAACAGGTTCAATAATTGAATCTTCATATGGTGGCTCAATCTCATTTACCTTGACCACAATTGAAATCAACAAGAAACACTTTGATGCTGAAAAGATTGATGAATCATGAGGAGTTAGAAGAAGGCCACAAACACCAGAAACACGAAATGAAGCCAGTAATCTGTAATGATGTTGGGAAATGTTTTCAGATGGTAGTTTGGACCACTGGGTTGAATAGCGCACAAGGGACTGCTCAGATTGATGCATTTTTCAGTAAGCTTTTGAGGACTGAGAAAGCTAGGAGCATTTGATGTATGATGTCAATAAACTTGTCAAGAGCAGTAAAACTGGTTTGAATTTTACTCAAATTGGATGGGCTTGAAGTTGAATCATTGATTTGATTTGTGCTTTGAGAGTTTGAGAGACAGCCAATGAAGTACTTGATCATTGAAATCTCTGGACCAAGTTCATCCAAAGGGTCTGTTGGCTTTTCATATACTGGAAGAGAGTTGATGTCCTTTGCAACAAGGGATACAGCCTGAAAGAAAATTGCAGCCCACTTATGTTGGATCCTATTGGTTGGGTAGCAAAG